CCGGCTGTGAAATGGGATTATCCGGAATGTATAAAGAAACGCAGCCAATGAGACCGTTTTTAATGAAAAACTACTGTGGAAAACCAACAATAATTTGAAAAAATGGTAAGTGATAGCTATTTCCGAAATCACACATATCCTCATCAGACTTCGTTCAGTGGGACTCGACCCAACGACCCCAGCTGACTCAGCCAGTTGCCTACGCACCGTGCTAAGTGCGCCTTGTAAATTCTGGTTGCTTTTTTTCCACTTTTTCATTTGTGAAGCCAACTACAATCAAGCACAGCTATTCCAGTGCTATTTAAACTTGATCATGTGGTTGCTTGTTTTGTTGGTTTTTGTTAATAATTGTATTTTTAGAATGTTTAACTTTTAGGTGTGCTCGTCCTTAAGTTATTTGTTTTTGTTATTTTATGGCCTTAAACAATTACATATTATCAAAAATTTTTATTAAGCCTGAGGCCGTTTTTAATGAAAACCTATTGTGGCAAGGCAACAATAATTTTGAAAAAATGGTGGAAGTTATAACTTTTTCCGAAATTACCACATTTCGTCATCAGACTTATTTCAGTGGTATTGGATCCAACGACCCCAGCTGACTGAGCCAGTTGCCTACGCACCGTGCTAAGTTCGCCTTGTAAATTCTTGTTGCTTTTCTCCACTTTTTCATTTGTGAAGCCAACTACAATCAAGCGCAGCTATTCCAGTGCTATTTAAACTTGATCACGTGGTTGTTGGTTTTGTTAGTTTTTGTTAATAATTCTATTTTTTTAATGTTTAACTTTTGGTTGTGCTCGTCATTAAGTTATTTGTTTTTGTTACATTATGGCCTTATAACAATTATAATCAACAATTTTTATTAAGCTTGATGCCGTTTTATTTATTTATTTCTTTCATTTCATCAGTTAGTTTTTACACACATAGATTACCAGACTAAGTAAATTTAAGTAATTACAATCGTAATAATAAATAGGAGTAATTATGAGCAGTATATGTGATGCAGCAATGAAATTAATTTAGACTTAAAATTATCCCTGCTATCCGTGAATAGGTCTAATTGACAACCTATCTCATTTGCATGCCTAACACATCGATTTAGCGGTTCATTAAATAAGTAGTTAGTTCTACAAAGAGGGATACGAAAAACACTATGTAATCTTAGATCTCGTTTGGGGCAATTGAAAACAATTAACGCGAGTAAAAAATGGCAATTAATATGGTGTGTGACTATGTCTCTAATAAACATTATGGAATAAGATTTCCTACGCGTTTCTAACGTTGGTAGCCCGAGTATAAGGCGCCTGCTTTTATATGTGGGCATGTTTCCATTCCAATGCAGGCGGGTAATGGCATATCTGGTAAAACGTTTCTGTAACTTTTCTATCCTTAAAGAGTAGCTGGAATATAGGGGATCCCAAATAATGCTGCAGTATTCGAGGTTGGACCTGGACAAAGGAAAAGTAAAGGCTCATAAGGGCAAACAGATCATGAAATTCAGTTGAGTTTCTTATTATAAATCCAAGCACCGACCAGGATTTGGCGACAATGAAGTCTATGTGCTTGGAAAAATACATTTTGAAGTCGAATACAACGCCCAAATCCTTTTTTCGTAAATACGGGAGAGAATCGAGTTACCAATCTGATAGTCAATTAAGTCCATTCGTCTACTAAATGGCATATATTAGCATTTGTCGACATTAATATGCAATGAGTTATTCTCACACCACGTCTGCAACTTGGATAAATCAACCTGCAGTTTAGCGCAGTCAGTCAGTCATCCGCATACATTAGACAGGATGAGTCTAAGATTAATTCAGGGATATCGTTAACAAATATTAGGAATAGTAGTGGGCCTAGATGACTGCTACCTCAAGGTAGCATCTATAATATCCGAATTGGTGTTATTTATGCGGACGAACTGAGTTCTACCAGTCAAATAAGAAGTGAGCCACTTAAGGATGTTCGAATGGAACCCCTTCTGTTCGGGGTTTGTCAAAAGCTTTGGCAAAATCAGTAAATATAACATCGCACTGGTTACCATACTCAAGTTGTTTCAGGACAAAATTTGGGAATAACGTTAAGTTTGTAGTTGTGGACTTACCCTTTATAAAGCCATACTGCTTTGATATGTACCCTTTTACCAGAAAAAATAATTTGTCGTATACGAGTTTTTCGAATAACTAAGATATGCATGATAATTTGCAGATAGGACGATAGTTTTGAACGTCGGACTTATTCCCAGACTTGTGAACAGGGATAATATAAGATCTCTTCCATTCCTTCAAAAATTCTCCTTGGGCTAGGGATTTGTTGAAGATTATTGATAGCGGAACACATAGTGCTGAGGCACAATTCTTCAACAATATGGAAGGGAGTCCATCCTCGCCAGGTACTGGGTCATTAGGTAATAATATTAGGGCTTGATACACCTCGTCGACAGAAAATTGCGGACTTGTAATGTACAATGTATCATGTGACTCAGTATTGCTTGTTGTTGTAGCCTCAGAAGAGGTAACATATACAGAGCGGAAAAATTTTGCAAAGGGATTGCAAATTTGTTGGACGTCAGAAGCAGATTGGTCTGAATAACACATTATGTCCGCAATTCCTGTACTTTCCTTTTTATTATTTATAAATTTCCAGAAACGTTTGCCATTTGATTTAATTTCACTCTCTATAATTGAAATATAGTTATGATATAGGAATTTGTTTAAAACATCAGAGTCATTTTTCAATCGACAGTAGGTTCCATACACAGTGTAGACAGTGTGCCAAGTAATGACAATATCCATATTCGACAATTCATACGTGAACTGATGTGTTTGTGTTAGTTGTTTATTTCAATTAACCCTAAGATAGCACATGTTTAAAAAAAAGACAAGTATTTGTTCTGTAACCAAAAATTGATTTTAATCGCAAAGATAAATTCCTATTACTTAATTAATTAAAATTTAATTACGTACATTGTTCCTATTTCCACATTGGATAGATTGTGCACTGTCATTTGCTGATATTGTGTGTTTATTGTAATATGAAGTCGCCTTGTTTACAACAAACACATCATTTTGACATTAAGATGTACCGCGACAAAAATCAAAATTCGCCAGTAACACCACCTTGTATAAATTCGCCTTGGTCGGAGGTGTTAAAAACGATTCTCACAAATACGTGAATACGTGCTGTTGGTGGCAAAGACATGTGGCAAGCTAGCCCCACTGTTTTTTTTTTACATATTCGTCGTTCGGTACGATGAACACGGAGTCACCGCACATTACACTCTTGCATAAAAAAACGTATGCGGCATTATTAGTTTTTTCGCTTTCTATATTCCTTTTTTGTTAATATTTTCCTTTGTTCACGATTCCAAAAAAATCTTAAATTCAAACTACCAAAAAGGTTAACAACAAATTTCAAAATTTTAACTAACACACTCAAGCAATTGTCAAATATGGATATGAAAAATTAAATGTCATTACTTGGCACACTGTATACACTGTGGTTTCATAGAGATTTACGTCATTATTCGATTTGCGATACCGCTTATATGCTTTCGTTTTCCTATTGTTGATGTTTGTAAGCCTAGCATTGACCAAACTGGTTTGTTGACCTTACTTATGGATTTTTTCTGAATAAATTTTCGAACCTCCAATTTAAGCTTGTCTCTGAAAAGGTCATAATCTTGCGACAATTGAGGCATTTTCAAGGCTGACTCCCAGTTAACAGAGTCCAGTGAATGTAAAACTGTATCGAACTCAGCCTTGGAGAAGTTATAATCATCGTAGATATTAAAGCTCAAACAGTCAACGACGTAACGTAGACGTAGGTTGACGCAGATACGATCTACCTTATGGGATTCGCGTGTTAACGAAAACTCACCACCGCATGGCGGTGACGTTGCCGTTGCTTCTCTCTCTCTCTCTATCAACAGCAAATTTGATATGCTGCTACGTACGTCAACCTACGTTTACGCTCCGTCGTTGACTAACTACGCTTTTAGAAATGGGCTTAATATAATTAATGAAACGAAAGCTTACGCGCTTTATGGTGAACTGAGTTAGGAAGAGGGGGTGAAGAGAGGGGCTCGACATCTATTAATACGACGAATATTAAGTCTAGTAATCGATTGTTTTCATTATAAACATCATTAATTTGGTTGAGATTAAACTCTGCACATGTGTCGAGAACCTCGCATTCACTCTCACTCGAAACTTGATACGGTATGAGTTGGTTAATATCACAATAATAGCTCCACTTAACATTAGACAGATTCAAGTCTCCAACAATAGTAACATTCTGACTATCACTGCGATTACTTAGTATGGTACAACAATTATTTATATGTGCTTTATATACTTCAACTGAGCTTAGCGGTGATATATAACTAGCAGAGATGAAAATTTCTTGCGATTTATCAACTAAAATTTTAATAATAATTTGATCTATGTCATAATTTCTCTGCACAGAGTTAACGTCAGAAGACAGTTCGATCTGACTTCTGGGAAGTGATGCGCTAACAGCAACGAGTACGCCGCCTCCTTTCGAAAGCCCAGTAGTGCTTGAACAGCTATCCTTACGAAATACATTGTAAAGGCGACAATCAAACATTTTAGCAGTGTTATGGCATGATGAGAGCCAAGTTTCTGTTATGACTATGATATCGTAAAGACATGACGAAGAAAAAAGCAGCAATGGCAAAATGTTAGTTCTTATACCTCCAGCGTTTTGATAATACATCAAAAATTCAGCAAATTTCGATGATATACTGGGAGGGTTCACACTCGCTATGCTTGCGGTGGGTTCACATCTCTTTTTGGAAAATTTGTGAACGGGCGGACTCTTACATACTCTTGCCGAAGAGAAGAATCGAGAATATTTTCAAAATATTGCTCAGCAACACCTAACTGGAAAGATATTCTCTTCAGGTTCAGGTCAAAGAAGATGCTTTTTGTCAATATTCGCATGACTATGGACATAATCAATGATGTTTTCTTCGCTCACATTGGGGCTAAACGATGACAAGTGTATCCACTTAGTTTGTGCAATTACATCAGTTCGCTCCAGGTTTTACGTCCTACAACAATATTATCGGCATGTCTCTTTTTGTTTTTCTTTCTCATCACAGCAATGAAGTTGGCTTCGTCGTTTTCGAGCATAACTGAGTGGCTACTGTGTGCCAAATGCATCGTGACGGCATTGTTATTGGACGAAGAGGGAGAAACATTAGAACAAGCGAGAGTTTGCGATGTATTACCAGCTGCGGCGGCGGCGGAATATGATATAGGTAAGTGAGTTGGCAACGATGAAGTTAAGCTCATAGCCGGCTTTTGTGTACGTAGATGATTTACGGGCTTGGCGTTAGCATGGTTCAATGCAGTTATAGGTAGATTTTTTATTTCTTTGCACATGATTTTAACATCACTAGCCAGATCGGATATTGTAGGCGAGTTAGCGTAGGCATGAAGCACAAGACGAACGGCTTGCACTTCCAATTGCAGATTATGAACTTTTTTATTAGGGCTTCTATCTCACTAATCAAAGAGGTGACCAAAGAGAGGATATGGGCATTCTCTGATCTCAAACCTGTAAGTTCGTTGAAAACTGCTTGCAAAGAGATATCTTGCTTTTGCTTTTCATCATCATCTCAGGGAGAGGTGGCTGGTGCTCAATGAGCGGCTGAGTATCCGAATGAGTCGGCGAGAGAAATGAGTCACAACGTGCCGTGATACATTGTTTGCACTTAAATTGTTTGTTTGTTTTTTGCATGTATTCTATGTCCGCGGGCATAAGAGAGACGCAACTCAAATGGAAGATAATATTGCATTTGGCACAATGAATTTTTTGAATTTTTGGCTGACTACGGTCAACTTTTTGACCGCAAACACAAGGCATGGTATTAAATCAGTGTCCAAGCAAAACGATTACGAAATAAACAACGCGAATCGATTTACTTTCGCACAGAAGAAAGTAAAAATAAATTACACCGAGAGCTCTGTGCACACGTCCGCTCAGCACGACAGATACAATTATAACCAGTGTTGCCGCGAATAATTTTTACTGGTAGCCGAATTCCTTTAAAAAAAGGGCTAAAAAAGAGCTAAAAAAAGTCGTTGTGGCTAAAAATGGTAGCTAAAATTTTTTACTTACATATACATATATACGTATACACGCAAACATTTTGAATAAGTAATCTTACTAATATTATAAATGTGAAAGTTTGTATGTTTGGATGTTTGGGAAATCATCACGCGGAAACGACTGAACGGATTTGCATGAAATTTTGTACGCAGATAGCTTATGGGCCAGATTGGTTAATATGCTATTTTTTTATGAGTTGTCACCTGTTAAAAAAGTTTAATTTATTTAATATGCGGGAACGACAGAATGGATTTGCATGAAAATTTGCACACACATAGCTTATGACCTAGATTGGGAAATAGGCTACTTTTCTTAAGAGTTGCCACCTGTTAAAAAAGTTTCATTAAATTAATACGCGGAAACGACTGAATGGATTTGCATGAAATTTTGCAAGCAGATATCTCATGACCTACAGTGGGAAACAGCATAATTTTTTGGAAGAGTTGCCACCTGTTAGAAATGTTTAATTTAATTAATACGCGGAAATTAATGAACTGATTTGCATGGAAGTTTTCCCACAGATAGCTTATGAGCTAGGTTGGAAAATAGGCTACTGTTTTAAGAGTTACCACCTGCTAAAAAAGTTAAATTAAATTAATACGCGGAAAAGTCTGAACGGATTTGCATGAAATTTTGCAAGCAGCTAGCTTATGACGTACAGTGGAAAATAGGCTAATTTTTTGCAAGAGTTGCCACCTGTTAAAAAAGTTTTACTTAAATTAATACGCGGAAACGACTGAACAGATTTGCATGACATTTCGCACAGATAGCTTATGACGTATGTTGGAAAATGGGCTACTATTTTAAGAGTTATCACGTATTAGGAAAGATTAATTTAATTAACAGGCGTAAATGACTGAACTGATTTGCCTGAAAGTTTGCACACAGATAGCTTATGACCTAGACTGGAAAATAGGCTACTTTTTTAAGAATTGCCACCTGTTTGAAAATTAAATTTCGCTCAAAGATGGTTTATGACCTGGATTGAAAAATAGGCTAATTCCTTAACCGGTTTTCCGATCAGAACGAAATTTAGTACTCTTACTACGGATTTCGGAAGGATAGTCTTAGACTGAAAGTAAGTCGCTTAACTTAAGGCCCCTCCCATACAAATTGGAATTTTCATATTACATACATATCTCTGGAAGTATTTGTGGGGGAGAACTGAAATTTGGTATAGTGATATGTATGTGAAATCAATGTTGGCATTAATCGATTGATGTTTTAATCAGTTAGTTAATTCGATTAAATTCAATCTGATTACAGCTAATTATGATTAATTTTAATCTGCCTAAACAGTTAATCGTAACCGCGATTAAAAAATTAATTTTTAATCATTAACTCTTAATTTGATCAAGTAGGTTTGGTGATTAATTATTTTATGCTGGAATTTCCCTGTGCACACAAAGCAAGTTAATCCGGTATGGCTAAGTCGGGTTTCCTCATCAATCTAAGCAATTCGATGTGCATTTTCATAAAGATATATACCAACAAACGTTTTACAAACTTGGTTTGTAAAAGTTCCCAGTTTATGTATTACTAATAACAATATTTATAATTTTTATATATTATGTGCTTTTTATAAGCGTAAAACACAAAATACTTACTATAACTGGTGTTTGGTTTCAAACTCGGTCAAACTATACAAATTAATCAGATTTTATTTTTAATTGGATAAACGATTAATGTTTTAAATTAATTAAACAAATCGCAGCCAGCGATTAACGATTAAAAAATTGTTAACATTAATCGTACAGTTGATTACGACTAATTTATTTTAATCGTCAAACGCGATTAACGTTTTTTTTTTTGTTTTTTTTTAGATTGGCGCTTACACATATGTTAGTGTTTGGCCGAGCTTCTCCTCCGACTTGTGGCGTGCGCCTTGATGTTGTCACACAAAGCGGAGGGACCTACAGTTTTACGCCGACTCCGAACGGCGATTGTATTTTTATGAGAAGCTGTTTTTCATGGCAGAAATACAGTCGGAGGTTTGCCACTGCCTGCCGAGGGACGACCGCTGTTAAGAAAAAACCTTTTTCTATATTTTTGCGATGTTGCTTTGACCAGGGCTTTTTTTAATCGTTAATTTTATTCAGATTAACAGTTTGCCAAGACTGTGTGAAATCATGTTCATGTTCACGGAGAAAATGGACGTTTTTTGATAAGAGGCGTAGCACCTCCCATACTGACTGAAACTTTCATATTGCATATCTCTTCAAATGTTTGGGGTAAAGCACTCAAGCTTGGTATGGAAATACATATGTGTGTATGCATTAGCGCACACAAGGGGTAGGTTTTGGGGTGCAAACCCCCCCTAAAGCTAATAACCTCAAATACAACCTGTATCTTAAAGCTAAGAATCCAGCTCTCAAGGAAATTATAAGAAATATTTATTATAATTTCTGTTGCTTGAAAAAGCGCTTTGCTTTTGCTGTAAATTTTCATGAGGGAATAAATATACGAGCATTTTTTTTCTTGAGAGCTGCAAACTGATTTAAGAAATTTTGGTAGAAGAAAATTTCTTTTCCATTTCTCGTCCGTCGTTTTATATGAATTTTTCGTTTTTCTTAAGAGCTCCGTTAATTTTTTCGGTATTTGAAATATTAAAAAAATTTAGCAATCGTGAAAAATCACCATCTCTATCGAAAACCAGAAATCGGAAAAATGAACATAGAAGTGCAAAAGTTCATGGAATCAGTCAATTTATTTTTACTGACTCTTTTTTAAAATTTTTTATTAGGTTCTTTGGAAAGTTGAGCGCATCTTGAGTTTATAGAACTTTTTTTTAAACAAGTAGTTTTTAAGGAAAGAACACAACCGACTTCAATTCTCATATTCAAATTTAGGGGTACCGTTAATTTCTTCATGATCCAATCATCGGATCTCTAAAACAAATTACGGGACGAACCTTGAGGTACTATCTTTCTAATAAAAAAAGGATTATTGAAAACGGTTCACGTGGTCCAAAGTTATGTATTCCGGCGAGATGATAACCTTTCTTTTTTTTGAAGTCGGTTAAAAGCGTTTGAGTTCTGTTAATCTGTAAATAAAGTGCAGTTTATGAATTTTAAAACGTTTATTTATTTATTACATACTGTACATAAAACTTGCATAAATGTATTTTATCTGAAGCAAATTTTCAGTATTTTCCGGTGATATATCTTCAGAAATATAAAACCCCCCCTAAAATATATTCCTGGGTGCGCCCCTGTGTGTATGTATGTGAAACTAATACCATACTCATGGAGAACAATTAGAGTTATTGGAAAAGGTGGTGTGGCAACTCCCATGCGAATTGATTTTCCTATGCTGCATATCTCTGGAGGTGTTTATTGCAGAGGACTGGAACTTGGCACCGAGATGTGTATACAAAATTAATTCCATACTGATGGAGAAAAATTTGCGTTATTCGAAAAGGGTACATGGTTCCTCCCGTACAAATTTACTGTTTTATACTGCTTATCTCTAGAGGTGTTAATGGTAGAGTCCTGGGGCTTGGTACTGGGGTATGTAAAATCAATTCTAAATTCATGGAAGAAGATTAGGGTTATAAGAAAAAGGGGCGTGACACTTCCAGTTCAAATTTACTTTTTCTTGCCACATATCCCTGGAAGTGTTTGTGGAAGAATACTGGAACTTGGTATAGAGTTGTGTATACAAAATGTATCAATTGCTCATGGAAAAAATGTGAGTGATTAAAAAAGAAGGCATGTCGCCTCCCATACATACTAAAAACTTCTTAATACATATCTCTGGAAGGATAGAAAATCTCTCGAAGTATTTTAAATTTGTTATGGAGATTTATTTTATAAGTGCCGTACTGACAGAATAAATTTCATTAAATGGAAAAGGGAGAGCCGGGTTCGCCTTGTAATCTTGAGCTCTCTTGAGGCATTTGCTACAGTAATGAGAAGTGGTATTTTATCCAGGCCAGGTTACTAAATTTGAGTTGGAAATATTAGAACCCGCCGTGGCACCTCCAAGAAGGTTACACGTTCACGCGTCGTATACCTGGAACCATTTTAAGGTAAACTTAGAGGGATTGATATCTTTCGTATGCCTAGCGCGCAGACGAGATTTTATAATTTCATAGTTTTAAACGGGCTAAATACCTTAACTCGCTTAAAAAATAACGAGCTATAA